TATCACCTCGGATTCACTTCTCTGCACGTCCTACCTTCCAGAAAGTCGTCGCTTTTCTGTTCAGAGAGTTGTTGCTATTCCTTTCTTCGATCTCCTGTTGGGTTTGTAGGTGTTCAGAATGGTTTGATCCCTATCCAGCTGAATTCCTGAGAGGAGAGGAAATCCAGGTCTCTTACTCCTCTGCCATCTTGCTCCGCCCCTCTGTTGTTCAGTGTTTTATAAGACTTTGAAGCGATGTGATTCCATTAAGTGTTTTCCTGAAGCCAAGACAGACCGTCACCCATGCAAGGTAATTCTGATAACATTCATTTTCTGCTACGGAAGGGTCTTTGCTCTGAAGTCCTAAAAAGTTGTTAATGATTTTAAACTCCAGAACTTAGAATTGCAACTTGTGAGTAGTACTGCTTATTTTGGAAAGGAGATGGTACGGGGATAGAAGACTCAACATCGAAGGCATAAGATATCCCAGAAAGTGCTGGATTGTTTTAGAAAGGCTGGCAGGGGAGGGCTTTCCTTTTCCTTGGTTTACAGTGGAAAAAGGGGCTCATTGACGGCCTCCGAGGCCACTGAACTGAGAGTATTGTGTTTCGCCTCTTTGCTGATCCCCGACTTTGCTCTTAAGCCTTGAAGGCCGTTAGAGGAAGCAGGAGGTTCAGTGTGACGTCACGCCCAGGGGCAGGTGTCTGGGGAGGTCCACATACTCAGACGTAAGAGCGCCACCTTTTAAAGTAGTGCTTCCTTGCTTTGCTCTTTCTCTGATCTCCATGGGCTGGGCTCTTCAGTTCCTGTCAGGAAATACATTCCCACCAGTAAATTGGTCCTCAGAACATCTTATGAACAAAACACGGGGTCCTCGTGGCTGGCCGGGGTGTTGGAGCCTGGCTCATCCAGCCTGAATCTGAGCACGCAGCGTGTGCAAGGGCCCGGCTTGGCCAGGACACCGGCAGGCCCCTTACAGCAGGCACTGGAAAGCTTTGTTGATCTTTTCTTTCTTTCTTCCTTCCTTCCTTCCTCCCTTCCCTTCCCTTCCCTTCCCTTCCCTTCCCTTCCCTTCCCTTCCTTTTTTTTCCTTTTCTTTTCTTTCTTTTCTTGACAGAGAGAGACACAGTGAGAGAGGGAACACAAGCAGGGGGAGTGGGAGAAGGAGAAGCAGGCTTCCCGCTGAGCAAGGAGCCCGATTAGGGGCTCGATCCCAGGACCCTGGGATAATGACCTGAGCAGGGCTCGATCCCAGGACCCTGGGATCATGACCTGAGCCGAAGGCAGACGCTTAACGACTGAGCCACCCAGGCGCCCCTGTTGATCTTTTCTGATTCAGGAGAGGACCCATGGAGAATGGGAGGAGACAAAGAGTGGTCAGGACTGCGGAGTGAAAGAAGCAGCAGCGGGGCGGCTTGGACGAGCCTGCGGGGCCAGGCCGGAGGGTAAGGAGGCCAAGAGAACTGCAGTGGATGCGGGGCTGGCCTGGGGGTCCCAGCAGAAGCACCTGGGGCCCAGCTCCTGACTCTCAGAGGCAAACCCGAATCTCGTCGAGAGGCCTGCCTGGGCCCCAGGGGACAGGGGTGTGAGAGCTGCTTCTGTCACTCCCTGCTCGTGTGCCTGGGAGCTGGCTTCTGCCCTTGCTGTGCTGTCCTTTGAGGAGAAAGGGACGGCACAGACCCCACCCACCTCAGGCTTGTTTTGTGGGTTCAGGTGATAGAAAGCCTAAGAAAGTGCTTCATCCCTCAAGCACAGAGAGCTATGCAGGCCGCTGTTTTCCTGAGCTCAGATCCCAGAATCGTGTTTGTAAACTTAATACGGTTTCTGTTACTCGGGATGAATTCGTAAAGACTGTACTGGAACCACTGGAATATGCCTCTTTCTTGAGTGCAAGGAAACTCCGAGAAGGGCCACACCCATTGTGGTCTGCGCTGCAGAACTCTGTCTCAGGTTTGCCCCCACCAGCCAGATGTCACTGGGAGACCACAGGCACCAGAGGGGTTTCTAGGGGAGACACAGTTCTTTTCCAGAGAAGCTTCCGTGACGAGGGCGGTGGCCCGGACTGCCTGAGGCACACAGTTCGTTGGCGCCTCGCCCGCATCTGGCCGAGTGGGCTCCAGGCGGGCATCAGGATCTTAGCCGTCACTTCATTCAGAGGGGAAGCCACCAGAGGGGCTTTGTGCTGCTGGCCCTCCAGCCTACGGCGCCGTGAGGGGAAAGGCTTGTACTGGTCAAGGCGATTGTGATGCTCCTTCCCTCCTCAGCCACTGTCACCCCCTGCTCGGGGCATGTGCTTGTGGATTCGGAGCTGAGCTGAGGACCCTGCCTGTAAGACCCCGGTGAGGACAGACGAGGCAGGCCTTCCACAGGGTAAGGCGCGGTGCAGGCTGCTTCCTGCGGCCCCAGAGCCTGCTCCCTGGAAACTGCCGTAGGCCTTTCTCTGCAGCTGGCCAGGCCTCACTGATGGTCAGTTGGGTTCTTAACCTTCCAACCGGCGGGGGCTGGCTGGGTCGTCTTGGGGCAGGCAGCCCCGTCCCAGCCCCTACTTGTGGGTGAATGCACATCTGATCTTACCACTGGGTACACCCCTCTGAGGCTTTATCACTGTCTTTGGAGCACCTGGGGCCCTGATGACTCTGCCTTGAGCAGAGTCGGCCTTGCCTTCTGTATCCCGGCTGCCTGGGCTTTCCTGTCCTCAGACACACTTGTGCTCTTGCTTTGGGGTCAGCACTCATGCACTCGCTCTGCCCTGGGCATGTGCCTTTCCCTCCCTCCCTCCCTCTGTCCTTCTGTCTCTCTTTCTCTCTCTGTCCTCCTCTGTCTCTCTCCCCCCCCCACCTGTGAGCGCGCGTGCACACACACACACATCAGGCTGACTCCTGCTCACACATCTAGTCTCAGCTTTGATGTCCCTTCCTGACCAGCTGTTTCTCCCCTTCCCACATGGCCTCAAAGCACTGGGCACTCGGCTGTGACTCCCGTGAGCCACCAGCAGGGTCAGCCCTGGGCCTGCTCAGTTGCCCCTTGTGTCCTCAGTAGCTGTGTAGAGCTGGTCCTCAGTAACTGTGGGGAATGAATGGTAACAGATCACCTCAGGGGTGAGGGGTGACACCTTCCTTCTGTTCCAATGTGGGTAGACCCTGGAGATGGATGGAAGAACAGTTTCAGCTCTTTAGGGGTGTAGTAAAGCCCATCCTGGAGCTTTGGGATAGGGAGGAGACCACCAGCACCATATGCTGGCAAGATACTGCTATTTCCCTGAGTGGTCAGAGGGCATATCTGATGGGACCTCTGTTACTTATTTACTCATCCATCTGTCTGTCCACCCACCCATCCACCCAGCTGTCAGTCCATCCATCCATCCATCTACCCACTTGTCTTTCCATCCATCAGTCCACATTTGTCCATTCATCTGCCCATCCATTTATTTGATGGACTCAACTGTCCATCTGTCCACATCTGTCCGTCCACCCATCTGATCATCTGTTCGTCCTTCCATTCATTTATCCATCTACCCACCTGTCTGTCCGTCTGTCCTTCTGACATCTATCCATCCATCGATCCAGTTGTCCATCTATCTGCCTACCTACCTGTCAGTCCATCCATGTGCTCACATCTGCCCATTTGTTTATCTCTCCATCCATCCATCTCTCCATCCATCCGTCCTGATGTACAACAAATACTCAGCATGCTTGCTGAGGACTGAGCACTGTGCTGGGCACTGGGGATATATAGGTAAGTGAAATGTGTTTACTGGACTCAAACTCTTCTCTCTGGAACAGTCTCTTCTAGAGTGTTCCCCTGGAGTTGTTGTCTTTCACCCATTAGAAAGAGGGAAGAGTCCAGTGGAAAGAAGTAGAGTTTAGACCTCTGTACGGAGACCTCGTGAGGTCCCCCAGTGCACGTGGGCCCCTCGTGAATGAGGCACAGACCATAAAAGTGGGCTCTGCAACCAGCGGGTGCTCCATGTGTAATGGCAGACATGGCCTTTAATGTGTGACTCGGTGGGTTCTGTGAACTTGGCACTGTTCAGGTGAATGGCTGGTGCTTTGTGTTTACATGGAAATGAACCGACAAAAATGTCTCAGGGGTTTGATGAAGTTACTGTTCAATAAAAGCATCCTCCCAAGGGAGAAGAACTGATGTGTTGGTGTTGTTCATTTAAAGATGTAAAGACAAACGCTGCAGAGTTAGAAGGAAACACACTGGAGCTCCAAGCAACCCCCTCTCCAGCCAGTGACACAGACCAGTTGGGTCTGGGGCCCTGTGCAGTGTTCCCTTCTGTGAAGCTTGTATGGGGAATGCCCATAAAGCATGTGTGTGTGCGCATATGTGTTTTGTAGTTTTTGTTAAATCAGTAATTTACAAACCATAAAGTTAATTTCATTTGAAGTATACAATTCCATGGTTTTTAGTATATTGACAGAGTTGTGCAATCAACACCACAATCAGTACCCCAAAAAGAAACCCTGTACCTGTTAGCAGTCTCTCCCTTTCCACCCACCCTTAGCCCAAGGCAACCACAAATCTTTCTCTCTCTATAGATTTGTCTGTTCTAGACATGTACAAGTAGAATTATACTATGTGTGGTCATTTCCATCTGGCTTTTTTGCCTTGGCATAATTTTTTTTAAGGATTTTTTTAAAAAGATTTTTAATTTATGAGAGAGAGAGAAAGTGGAGGAGAAGCAGAGGGAGAGGGACAAGCAGACTCTGATCTCAGGACCATGAGATCATGACATGAGCCGAAACCAAGAGTTGGACGCTTAGCTGACTGAGCCACCCAGGTGCCTCTGGCATGGTGTTTTTAAGGTTCATTCACATTGTAGCTTGTATCAGTACTTTGTTCCTTTTTTAAAATTTAAATTCAATTAAATAACATATAGTGTATTACTAGTTTCAGAGGTGCAGGTTAGTGATTCATCAGTTGCATGTAACTCCCAGTGCTCATTCCATCACGTGCCCTCCTTAATGCCCATCACCCAGTTGTCCCAGCCTCCCATCTACCTCCCCTCCAGCAGCCCTCAGTTTGTTTCCTGTAGTTAAGAGTCTCTTATGGTTTGTCTCCCTCTCTGATTTCATCTTATTTTATTTTTCCTTCCCTCTTTGTTCCTTTTTATAGCTGAATAACATTCCATTGTATGGATATACTGCATTTTGCTTACGTATCTGTTTACCAATTAATGGACTTTTATTTTTTACAAAGACTTATTTATTTTAGAGAGAGTTTGTGTGAGTGAGCTTGGGGAGAGGCAGAGGGAGAGGGAGAGAGAGAATCCCAAGCAGATTCCCCTCTAAGTGCAGAGCCTGACATGGGGCTTGACCTCACCACCCTGAGATCATGACCTGAGCTGAAATCAAGAGTCGGATGCTTAACTGACTGAGCCACCTAGGCGCCCCCAATTAATGGACTTTTAGATTGATTTCTTGGCTATTACCAATAATGCTGCTATGAACATTCATGCACAAGTCTTGATGTGGACATATTCAGTTCTCTTGGGTATATACCCAACAGTGGAGTTTCTGGGTCATAAGGTAACTCTATGTTTTAACTTTTTGAGGAGCTGCCCAATTATTTTTTGAAGTGATTGCACCATTTTACGTTCCCTCCAGCAATGTGTGAGGGTTCCATTTTCTCCGATCCCAGCCAGCGCTTGATGCTAGTCATCTTTTTGCTGATAGCCTCCATCCTAGTGCTTGAGAGCTGGTATCCCATTGTGGTTTTCATGTGCATTTCCCTGATGACTGATGACGTGGAGCACCTTTTCCTGTACTTGCTGGCTCCTTTTATGTCTTCTTTGGAGAAATGTCTACTCAGATCCTTTACCCATTTCTTCATTGGGTTGTCTTTATTATTGAGTTGTAGCAGTTCTTTATATATTTTAGAATCAAGTCTCTCATCACATGTGTTGTTTGCAGAGAATTTCTCCTATACTGTGGGTTGTCTCTTCGCTTTCTTGATGGTGTCATTTGAGGTGCAGCATTTTGAATTTTGATGATGCAGTTTATCTACTTTTCTTTGGTTGCTTGTGCCTTTGGTGTTGCAGTAATGATTGTGTCTTATAAATGCAGTCCGTCTAAAGGGAGTTACTGCGGAGAAAGTTTTTTGATTATACAATGATTATAGAAAAATCCAGGGTGCCTGGGTGGCTCAGTCGTTAAGCATCTGCCTTCGGCTTGGGTCATGATCCCAGGATCCTGGGATCGAGTCCCACATTGGGCTCCCTGCTCTGCGGGAAGCCTGCTTCTTCCTCTCCCACTCCCCCTGCTTGTGTTCCTGCTCTTGCTATGTCTCTCTCTGTCAAATAGATAAATAAAATTAAAAAAAAAAAAAAAAAAAAAAGAAAAATCCACAAAGGAGTCATTACTTAGAAGAAACCCATCTCTGGATCCCAGGCTCATGTCCTGCGAGAGGTGCATTGCCTTGCGTGTTGTTCCACCCCAAGTTTACCATATGATCCAGAAATTTCCTTCTGGGTACGTAACCAAGAGAACCGAAGAACTGTGGCCAAAAAACGTGTACACAGATGTTTAAAGCAGCATTATTGATAATAGCCAAAACTGAAATCAGACACAAAGCCCATCCGTTGGTAAATGGATAAACAAAATGTAGTATATCCATACAATGGAATATTATTTAGCTATAAAAAGGAATGAAGTACTGGTACATTCTACACCATGGATAAACCTTAAACACATTATGCTAAGTGGGAAAAACCAGATGTGAGGTGGGCAGAGGATGTTGGGAATCCGTGGTCTTGCAGAAGCTTGCCTCATGGATTCGGGGTCGGGCAGTGGTGATGGACATTCACTGTTATGTACTGGGGCCTCAAACATTTTCTTTTGGGGAGTAGGGTTTTAGGCTATCTTAGCATCAGATATTTTGTTCCAGGAAGTCTTTGAGAACATGCCCTTCGGCATGAGGAAGAAAGAAATCCAACTGGTTGACTACTTGCAGAAACCTTAGGGACCCAACAGATTATGAGACAATTTCTAAAATACCTATTTTCTGCAAGAAGCATTCTAAAAGTTTTGATTTTGATTTAGTTCTCTTTCTAGGGAGAGATGGTCAGCATCTGGAAGTTTTGAAGTTAGGTGTCTGGGTTTCCATGTTGAGAAGCCATGAAATTCCTTGGCCACCTTCCTCATCCCCCTTCTACCTCCACCATTTTACACAGGGCACAACATGTCACCATGGCCAAGCAAGAGAAAAGAGCTGGAAACCACAGCAACACTCACGGAGGGTCTGCAAGCCCAGCACCCAACCAAACATCCAGGGAACTGGGCTTTCTGTCATTTGCAGCATCAAATGAGACCTTCTCAGAAAGACTGTCCTGTAGGAAAATTCCTACAAACGGCCCGGCAACTGAAAGGCTTCCCTGAATGTGTTCTTCAGGCTTTCTAGAAGGTCACCTCTCCAACAGTGACCCTTGGCAGTGTGCAGATGAGCTGCAGAGCTTGCGAACTCTCATGGCCTTCATTGCCCCCGACTTGTGGCACCTACTCGCTGGTGGACAGCTCACGGAGGCTGTATGAGGTGCATACCGAGCAGATGGCTCCTTTGGTCCTAGGGTGCTCGGACTCTTCGAATTTCATGGGATTGGAGGGCGTGGCCTTGGGTGCATTTTTGTGGTCTTCCTGGCTCAGTGAATGGGCTTGGTTGGTTATTATTCCTTCTTGGTTCTACACTTGCTTGATTTGGGGAATGTTTGCTGGATTCTCGGGTTACCAACAGAGCAGGCAAAAGCATGTCATCGAATGTGTGTGTGTATATATATATATATGTGTGTGTGTATATGTATGTGTGTGTGTGTATATATATTCATATATATACATACATATATACACACACACACATATAT